ATGATGATGATGATGATGATGATGATGATGATGATGACATTGATTATAATTGATGATGCTTGTTTTATGGATACCCCTACTTGAAAAAACATCATTTAATAACAAAGGTGCTCATAATATTCTCTTTCCAATGCTCTCTTTCAGTTATAGCTGACGTAACCTTCTGGGATCTGACTAGATGTACCTATTTTAATCACTACATATATACCTGGTCATGCAGCCATCTATACAAACGTATTAGTCTAGGAGAGGGAGCTGTGTACAACTCTATGTGTTTGGTTAACACTTGCTGGTAGGAAGAAATGAAATAAAATGAACAGATGAATGTCAATAGCATAACAGTTCCCTGCACCATCTTGAAAGGTTGAAGCGAGACAACCGTTGAGCGTGCAATGATAGATACCTGTGAATAATTGTCTGTAGGAGAGAAGTAAGGTTTTTGTCATTTTTAATTGCACGCTCAACAGTCATCTTGCTTCGATACAAAGGTATGTACACCTTTAAAGATGTCGCAGGGAACCTTGAAGAAGACTATTGCACATAGACAAAGAGAAAATGAACAAATGCATGAATAAAGGGATGACTGAYAATCAACATTAACGCATCTTACTGTTGTACTAATGAGATCATCGTAGCTTATTCCACATCCACGTCCATGAAAAAACTGCATTAAGTACTATAAATATTTTAAAGGAAATTTTAATTATTTGTTTACAAGCAAAATTGTTATTAKTACGGACTTACAGCCATTGCGTTCAGCAGTAAAACTGACTGCTCTGTGGCATCTGAACGGCGTTCTTTAAGAAGCTCAACTTCTTGAGTGAAATCCTGAGAAAATGGAAAGAAGTGGAATTAAAACTAGTGAGAAAAAAGGTGGAATAACAGAGGGAAAAAAATTGAGACAAGAAAAGAAAAAAAGGAAAATGGAATCAAAAATAAATAAAAAAAAACTTAAAAAAACGAACATACTAACGACCAAACAATGAAAATAATGAACAAATATTAACCGAAACCAAAGGAAAATAAGCTAAAACTAACAAAATTATACAGAAAACAAAGAAAACCGACAAAAGACGGACAAATTGAACATGAAAAACTAAAAAGAAATACGAACGAAAAAATATTGAAAATACGTAAACCAATAACAAATTGCTAAAAACGAAGAAAAAAACAACGAAATAAATGGAACGCAAAAGAAACAAAGAAAACGGACAAAGAACGAGCGAAAAACGAACAAAATCAACAGAAAAAAAAGAGAAAGACATGACAACTTTATTACAAAAGACACGGGACTTCGAATTTACGASCTTTTTTCGGTATCTCAGTTCAGACAAACTATTTTATTTAGCAAGTTCGGAGTAACATAACGAYATGACAACCCACCTGGACCACATGTCTCCACAAATACTTGATGGTCYCCATAAAAGCGTCTGGAAACATTACTCTACGTAACGACGTCAATCGTTTGTGAAGAAAATCGATAATCGGTTGAAGTCGTTTCTTCACGTCGAAAGTTGGCAACGACAAATTAAGAAGTTGGTGTAATATTGTCACGAAGAGATCATTGACCTGAAAAAACGAACGATTTAGAAGTACGAATACAACACAAGGGAAAACTAAAAATGCTTATAATGTAATGGGGCGTGGCAACACGTAGACATGCGTAACAACAATTCCATAATTTCAAACTATAATAATGAAATGGTGGGAACTAGCGGTAAACTAGTGTGAGCTGCGTCGGTGTTTCTAAAGAAACAGTTGTGTAAAAAGATAAATTTAACACCGTAAAAAAGTATGTGAAATAACTTACTGACGTTTCGGACGTTAATCCTTCGTCGGAGTAAAGAGATGGAACTAGGTATAGTGTGAGTTTATATAGTAAGAGTATCAAAGAAAATAGACCAATAGGAGCAAAGTAGGCAAGGTAACGAGAAACCCAAGTGACCCAAGGGCTGGTTGTGCGAAGGCTGAATAGCACTATCCACCAAATTAATCCTTATCCAGCGGTTGAAATCCCATACAAAATCTATTGAGTCGATAACTATAACCGTTCAACCGGCCCCAGCAATCTACGTACCCTGTGTGCTACAAGCTTGCATTGCATGTCWGATGCGTCATCAAGTCGAACGCAACACTCGTCAAGAGACCCATCGATAGACTGCGACAAGAAGCGTGATTCACTTRTATGGTGCTGCTGACTTTCTGTTTGCGAGTCTGACAAAGAGAAAAACGCTCACCAAATTATAAAGTTACGAAAAAATAAAATAAAAAAAGATAAATTATATATTGTAAGACGACGTATTTCAGACGRACAATACCTTGGCTAGTAATGGAATCAACAGATGGTCCATTTTGGCAATACGACTCGCTACGATATCGACAGTCTTCGCCGTTACCTTGGAGATTCATGGCTGTCGTCTTGTTGCAGCTGACGGTCAGCGTCATTCTGTCATGTAACCATGACAGCAATGATGAAATAACAGTGATGTTAGAGTTCCGAATACCCATCTGAAAACATAAATCAGTGTCAATAGCTATCTGAAGCTTTAATGTCATATGTAATGTATACGCAATGCATTGTAGGATTAATTTCTCTAGAAAGCGATCCCACAATGCATTGCGGAACAAGTAGTGACGTAAAAGTTCCAGAAGTCTATTATTATCTAATGTGGGTTTGATATATTGATTTACCTTGGAAGAAGCAGACTCGCAGCCACTGAAACTGCACTTGATTTTATTCATCGCTTCACACTGTTCAACTTTCTTGCCTAAAAAGATTGATGGTTCTATTGAATCAAAAATATCGCAGACGCGCACACGAAAACGAGGTAGCGCTGCACGAAAARACGCGCGCGCCCAGTATGGCTTAGGAGCGTTGTTAGCATTGACTCGATGGTCACAAACTCACGAAGGGGTTTTGTCACTAATATCGAGTACACAGARACCCACCTCTAGAGTTGATCGCGTTGCATCTAATGTGTGTCCCTGGATTAAGACGACACCCAGTAATCTCACCCCGTGTGCACCTGTCAATCAAATCTCTGGCAGGTTCTACACCAAGAARGGACATTAACTCCCTGTCTGTCAAACCACATGTCTCTACAGCCATCAAACTGTCTGCGTAGAGTAATACCATATCTTTGGAAATCTGAAGGAGAAAATACATTAGTTGTCTAAATGATTCTTTCCAGTAGTGACGTCATTTCCGGTAAAATGCATTATGGGACTGATCAAAGWACAAACGGAGTCAAACAGCAATGTGACATTGTCCTCAGCGCATAGCGTCTATAGCTTGGCACTGATAAGGACCAGCAGGATACTAATCTTACTTTCAAATGTAATAAAAAATATAATAATGATAATGAACGCCTGATTTAGACGTCGAATTTAACATGAACTGAAGTCAATGGAAATTACTCCAGCCTTTAGTTTCTTCTCATTATCTTTTTATTTGAACTTGATTCGGTACATGTAAAATTCGACGTTTCAAACAGGACACCACATCTACAAGCATTCAAGTAGTGTATGTGCTCTTCAGGGAAAACATTTGGGAACAGAGAGCATAATTATTACGCAACAAAATACATTTTCAAACAAATGACAAAATCCATCGTGCATAATATACCCCCTCCCCCTGTCTCTGTATTCATCCACAATAAATCAATAGTTGTATCGGTTTCTTATTGTTTTTAATCCCTTGAAGACAAAAAMATATAGCCTGGAGAAACGTTTCGAGGATTGACATAATTGTTTCCATGGRTTTATGCATGTCTTCAGAAATGATATATGTATATGTCAAAGAGCTGTATCAACACCCAACGCTTCGATGCATACGACTGCATCTTGAATAGAAAAACAACATCCAAAGTCTGCTTTCCCAGGCTAAGTCAACAAAGATTAAGAGATTCAAGACTATAAAAAGCACGAAACATACAGCTGAACGCCGAGAGGATCTACAACAACACTTGTTTTTAAACTTAAAGCAACTTGTATCCAAACATAACATGGCAGCCATGAGAGAGACAATATCTATGGCTTTCTTTCTGTTGGTTTTGACTTCGTTTTCATTGAGCAAAGCACAAACTATCGACTGCGTCAACGAAGACCTCAAAACAGTAAGAAATTTCGGGATCTTTTTAARCATATTTGGTATTCTGTTGGTTATTTTCGCTGTAGTCATGATTGTACTTCAATGCAAGGCCTCAAAACTCGAGAAACAGACGAGTTTCTTAAGCAGCGAGAAAAAGGACCAACCATCACCGTCAATGTACCACAAGAACAGCTTTCCAAAGGACTCGAACACCAGAGAATACGACCAACTCAATGAACATTTTGACAAGAATGACCGCGATGYTTTCGTTGAGAAGGATGATTATCATAATGTTTGGTTATAAAGTAAAGCTTTGAAGCGTATCTTCAAGTGACTTTTGAAGTTYCTTTAAGAACATTGCTCCTGAACAAAAACTGCCATAACAWTTTTATACGAACTGAACATACTATCGGTGATGGTTAAAGGGTCGACTACCACGATGCAATTTGGAAGTTGCTTTGATTCTGTTTTACACAACGCCATTCGTGAAGCATATGCGTTGAGAATACGCAAGACATGAATACGCTTGAAACTTACACAACGCCATTCGTGTTCCGTGAGCGTTATGTATTGCAGCATGTGCGCTGAAAATACGAAAGAAACACGCTTGAGACGTTAGCAAAAACGCGGTTAAATCGCCTGAATGAAAAGTGTTAGAGACGTTGTAACGTAGTCAGTGCTCTATGTGATAGATACGGTTGTACAAAGTATAAGTTAGAAAATGAGAGTGGTGATTTTCATAAACCCACGAAACAAAAAATAAAAACCACAATAAATGCAATAAAGACAGCATGTTATAGTGTTTTCAATGCGGGTTTATGAAAACCACTCTTTCTTTAACCAAAAAAAAAAAATAGCCATTTTATAATTTAAAATATATTCAAACACGATATAATCGATGGATTCTTGCACATTAGCKAATAAGTGGACAAAAAGTTGGAAGTTTAAAAAACATATTTAGATTATACTTCATATTAAAGAGAAAAAAAGTTCCTCACTTAGAAGGACGCAGATACATTTTTCTCTAGTTTGCTATAATTATCTATATCGGAAACACATCTAGTAGTTTAGTAACCCAAATATACTTATATGCTGAATAAAATCAATTTATAGTCTAAGATCTTTATAGCCTATATTAGTACTTTTGAAAACATCGATTTGATGATGATGCTGATGTTTGTGATGATAATGGTGATGTTGTTGATAATGATGATGATGTTTGTGATGATAATGGTGATGTTGTTGATAATGATGATGATGTTTGTGATGATAATGGTGATGTTGTTGATAATGATGATGATGTTTGTGATGATAATGGTGATGTTGTTGATAATGATGATGATGTTTGTGATGATAATGGTGATGTTGTTGATAATGATGATGATGTTTGTGATGATAATGGTGATGTTGTTGATAATGATGATGATGTTTGTGATGATAATGGTGATGTTGTTGATAATGATGATGATGTTTGTGATGATAATGGTGATGTTGTTGATAATGATGATGATGTTTGTGATGATAATGGTGATGTTGTTGATAATGATGATGATGTTTGTGATGATAATGGTGATGTTGTTGATAATGATGATGATGTTTGTGATGATAATGGTGATGTTGTTGATAATGATGATGATGTTTGTGATGATAATGGTGATGTTGTTGATAATGATGATGATGTTTTATTACATTTATTGGTTGGTCTTCTTGTCAAACTTTGTTCCCAAAGAAATCATAGTTTTGAATGAAAGATATCATTTTTGAATTTGATGAAAGACACTTAAAGTTAGCTTTAATGTTAGTAATGATGTCGTTGATAATGATGATGATGATAATGATGATAAGTGTGACTATAAGGTGCCTCAGGGGTTTCCTAGTCTTCTTTTGGGCTCCTAATAAGGATCACTATGAAAGAGGGAGACGTCCAGCTAAAACACTTAAGCAAACCGTCAAATCTCACATGTGCAGAGGTTTAATTCACATGAATAGCGTGATGGAACAAAATAAATAAATAGATTGGAGTAATTGTCATAGTATTCMCCATGTGTGGGATTCACCGTTTGTCAACAGTTCTTAGTTATAAGTCAGGGATATCGCAGTGTGACGACATGTAATCAATCTCCATCTCTTTAAAAACAACTTAACACAAGGTTAAAGTGTTAAAATCAGAGGTCTGCTAACAGATATCGGACCTCGCGTGATATAACATTGAAACGAATATCACGATACATCTTCACAAACCAAAAATGTAGGACCGTCCAATGACATCATCCTTGTTAAGCGATCCAACATTTTGCTGTTTGTCGGATGGTTTTAGATGTTGTTGGAAGGAGTCACTTTCAGTCACTTTGAAGGCGTTTGGACAACCAAGAGTATCTTTCATGATCAAACTATATGTTTGGTGGTTTTAGGTGGTCAAATATTCCTTTTTTYCCAGGAGCCTTTTCAATCTCTTTCTCTCATTTCTCTCACTATTCCATTCTTCCATTCTGTTTTCTTTTCTATTTTAAGAATACTGATCCAGTCGGTTATCACATACCGACAGATAACATATGCAAGTACTTACAACTAACACAACTGACCACAAAAGGTTACAATCTGGACATAATATTTGTCGACGGCTTTCCGGCTCAGACAAACGCTTTTAACCTTTCGACCAAGACCGCAACATAGAGTCATTGTAACAAACAGTTGTGGAGAAACACGTAGCAGAAAGGAGTGTCCGTAATATAGAGGTGTCTGAAACAAAGGAGTGTCCGTAATATAGAGGTGTCTGAAACAAAGGAGTGTCCGTAGTATAGAGGTGTCTGAAACAAAGGAGTGTCCGTAATAAAGAGGTGTCTGATACGTATAGGAGTGTCCGTAATATGGAAATGTCTGAGACGTAGGAGTGTCTGCAATACAGATTTCTTTAAGAAGTAGGAGTGTCCGTAATATAGAGGTGTCTGAAGTGTCCGTAATATCGAGGTGACTGATACGTATTGGAGTGTCCGTAATATGGAGGTGTCTGAAACGTAGGAGTGTCTGCAATACAGACTTGCCTGAGAAGTAGGAGTTATCGTAATATAGAGATGTCTGAAACAAAGGAGTGTCCGTAATACAGAGTTGTCTGATACGTAGGATTGTCCGTAATATAGAGGTATCAGTGATACAGAGATCACTTCCATAAACGTTTTTCATACCAACATCAGAAAGAGTCCGCAATAAAGAGGTGTTCGTGAAAAAGAGGTCATTTTACAAACCTTCGTACGAAACAGGGCATCAGGAAGACTGTGATAAAAAGAACGCGATAGAAAAGCCACATGGCCAGTCCCCTGTGCATTTCAAAGACTGGAATTGTCACAAATAGAGAGTTGGTTGTCTAGGAAACCTAATTAGAAGAAGACACACGACAAACTTTGAAGTGTCAAAACAGAGACGAATTAAGAGTAAAAAATACACGTCTGTGATACATATCGATAGCATGTCACGCGGTCAATAGCACAAGATCGTGTTGGAATTAGCTGGTAAGTACTACTGGGTTAGGTYATTTTCACCGTAGTCACAAAAACACACAAGATAAGCCTTGCTCACTCTACGTGTTCGCTTAGATTTGCTGCGGTTTCGTTGCGTTTTTGTTACGTCTTTGTAGCGTCTTGGTGAGACGCTGTGACAGWGTGAAATAGTTTGAGGACGACACATCAATGGATCCTCGTTCTTTGGAATTGCGTCCACGATGAGATAATTCTATAAACGAAGCAAGCYAAAACGGAAAAAATGGTGTGTACAACGGAAGATCTGTATGGTCATGACTTTACATTCGACACTATTTCGATATCGAAGTCCACCACTTTTTGATCAAATTGAAATCAAAAAAGATCAGGGTRAATTATACTATTAAAAAGGAAAGTAATTCATGTGAAATTACGTAGRCTTGCATTAAGAAGTATGAATTTTCTTTTTTCTTTTTCAAAAAATATGCCGGTGAAAAGTGACCTTTGGTCAATGCTAAAGTACTTCCCATGCAGAGAATTACACATGCAAAATCTATTTATGACATCCATTTCTCATAGAAGTTAGGTCTCGCTTAAATAGTTTTTAACCTAGTAAGACAAAAGATAAATGACAGATTCTAATAACTAAAGATAAAATTATACCGTTCAATGATTTATTAAAACATGAAATTGATGATTCTWTTGTCATCAATATCGATCAACATAAATCACTTCAAAAATTTCTTGATTAAGTAGTTCTTTCTATACTTTTTATATGTGGGTATGAACCCGCCCAAGAAATATACTTTGCGTGATTAGTGGATTATGYATTATAATACTGCTATATAATCGGTGAACCAGAAAGTCTTGAAGTCATTAACATTTCAATAAAGGTTTTGTCGACTGTCAAATTCACTTCAAAACTTCACGAACCCTGATTTWTCTCGAAATTTCAAGCCAAGCCAGAACTATTGTCTAACTGTAAGTATCTAAGTAAGAAAATTTTTTATTAACTAAAAATTGATAATATTTGCGAAAAACAAAACATTTGAACAGAGCCTAGAGCGTAAATAAAAATCATGCAACCTCCAAGGGTTGAAACGAAATTCAATCCCCTTGATTTACCGATTCTGTTATTAAAATAGCTGTAATTTAGCCACATTGATATCATATAGAGCCATTTGCATATCGTATAAGGAAGCCTTGACAGGATAAAAGGTCCCCGAGCGCTGTTCATATTTGTGTTCTATCGTTTTAGATTCAAGGCGAAAAGAATTGATCATTTATAAGGAAAATGGCCGTTACTGGACTAACTCCTGGGGTTATTGCAACTATTGTCGTTATTCTCCTAATAGCAGCAATTTTAATCGTTTTCTACTTCGTCTGTCGATCGGAGGACCCCGCAAAAGATCATACCTGCGTAGCTATGCTATACCCGCAGTCAAGACGTGAACTGCGGCAGCTTAGYATKCCACTAGACCCTGTCAACTCTACAAATGAGTACCCAAACCCTGGGTTTTTGGAAGAGAGAGTTGATGAACCAACGACGCATCATGAGGTGCAGATACATAATTCAACGACACAGKYTAATGAGAAAACGAATGCAACCGAGACACAACCTCCCAGTGCTGGRAATTCATCGCAACAAGGATTTGTGACTCTGTCTCTTCATTCTCTGACTACTTCACAGGCGGAATAGTCATGKATTGAAGGCATCAAACGGTATTTTTTTATTTAAAGGAGAGTACAAACAGAGAATGATTAACTGAAAAATTGAAAGGGTTTCATTGGGAGAGTTTTAAGTATTACAAAAAGCCATACCAGACGCTTATATAGACGCTTTCATAGCCATAAATAGCAAATCAAACAAGCCTAAAATCACGGAAATTATGTTATTTCACATTTAGATAACTGAGCAAACGAAGCAAAGGTTAAAACTATTATAACAGAGTTTGATCGATAGTGTAACAGTCTCTGTCGTGACGACAAGAGTTCAATGAACATTACTCGCATTTTATAAATGTTTTCGTTCGCTAACCCATCGTGTAATCTAACGTGTTTATACAGACAAAACACAATTACTGCAGGTTTGATCTTTGCCTCGTTCGCTAGTCTTAGAAACAAGTGGAAATAAGWGGTTGACATGACCGAAGAGAATTATGGTCGCCAAAATGTCCCATGGAATATTTAAGCAAAAATGACAACTCTCCGTAGAGAGAAAGCTCACAGAATGACCGCCATTTTGATCGAGAAACDTTAAAGCTGGAAATGCTATGAATTGAAGAGCGAAATAGCTTGCAAGCTTTAAAAGGTAAATATAGAAATGTTGCAAATATCACAACGCGTACTTTTAAGTTTTCAAACTCCTTGAACAAGAAATGCATATTACTCATATTGAGCAAGAGATGCAATACAATTAACTGTAGCTATCCAAGTTCTAAGAACGTTAAATGCATAAATCCGTGAAATAGGAAGAAGACATGAAACCCACGTAAGAAAACAAAGACTTTTAAAATGTGTAATAATCGCCTACACATAAAGGAAAACAAAAGAATTGTACATAAATTACGTAAACATCTATTTCAAGGAGTATTTTTGACCTCATTCCACAAGAACGTTTAGTTTTGAGTTCTAACCACTCGTGAAGGAGATACGAAAAAATAAGAAGTCGCTTTAATTMAATGTTCTTTTAGACTATTAGTTTACATACTGTTTCACGGGTTTACTGTCTTCACTTCGCTATAAGATTTATCACTTTTATCACTATAACATAACGGCAACCTCTCCGAGATAAAATCTTGAGAGGGAGGAAGGACTAGACCTTCTAAAAGCAGAACGTGACTGAGATCTATACGATAGTAATAAAACAATTTGACTATTAAGTTAATATGGAGAAATGAAAAAAATAAAAATTGATATATTTTCACTGAGCTGAATTAAATAGAAAAGTCACGAAAAAAAGTTTTGAGTTTTCTTATTTTTTTGGTAGCTATTCAAAGGAAAGTACAGGTTGTACAAGAATGCACGATCCCGATCGCTTTATAAAGATACATTGTTGACAGTTGTACAGTGTGTGCCTTATTGAGGATTGACAAATCTGAATTTATACAATCATCTGTAATATTATCATCATCAAAAAACAACATCATCATCATCATTATCATCAACAACTTCATTATCAACATTAAAAATACTTCCCCAAGCTAACTTTAAAAGTGTTTTTCATCATATTCAAAAAATGCTATTTTTAATTCAAAACTGTAAAAAAAATAGATACGTATATGTAGGAGGAGCCGACGGGTTGCTGGGAGAAATATATCTGTTCTTATGTCCTAGCCAGATTAGGTCATAACTGGTTGCCAGCGAGAAATTCAGGACAAAAAGAACTCTCCAGGCAAGGAATACTTTCTATTAATTTTTGCCAGGAAAATAAAAATTTCCTAACTAAGCCTTTTTGACCTTAAAAACGTGTGCCAGGAACAAATTATTTTAAAGAAGGAAGGGCGCCACATTTACTTGTCAAGATTGTCAACAATGTAGCTAAAAATCCTTTTCCCAGGAAAACATTCGTGCAAGAACAGTTATTTACAAGAACAGACCCTTTAGCTCCTCCTGCGTATGTTTTACGTCTAGATACTGACAGTCATCGCCCTAGACAGTGGCTAATGTTATGTATCAGACATGCTCGGACTCACGACCACTACATTGAATGATTGAATGTTTTACCATAAAACACTGATTTGATCATTGATATGATTTTCTTTGGGGACTTAACAAATAAGAACAGCCAACAAATATATAATAAACACCCGGAAAACATTTTTATAACTACAACCTTTGTTTACATTCGTGGGAATAATATCTCTATTGCTCGATTTCAGTGAATGYCTAAGGACTTCAAAAGGCCAATTGTTCCTGTGAACTCAACCAGTATGAGAGAAAACACGTARACTAGTTCATGAATACCAATTAAGTCTTAATAAAACATTCAACCAAGTGGAACTCGAATTATAGCTGTATGCTAATTAATACTAAAAACAAGCTCGGGTTAAACACACAGGCAAGAGGGACTTTTAGTAGWGATGGAGTGYTAGAGTCTGCATTGTCAATTCCTGTCGTTGTACTTCCAAACATTACGGGAAAAGATCCAGGAACGTTTTTGCAAATTTGGAGCTTACGTTGACGTATTTTGCAGCTTYGAAACTACAATATTGTAACCTGAAGGCCGACAAAGCTTACTACTGAATAACACAGATTCTTTGATGCGTTAAGTTAATCGAACTTGAGTTTAACTTYAAAAGGTGTTAAAAACGAGGAATATTGAGAGACTACAATCGAAAAAAGGTGACAAAAAGTGCGATAGATGTTGCTGAATTAATTAATCTAACAAGTCCAAAGGATTAGCAYAAATATTGCACGTACATCTCAAAACAGTTGTATTATGGATTAAGACTTCAAAATTATCAAACTTCTATTGGATGCAAGAAACAGAGAAGATATCGGAGATTGGAAGTACATGACTGCAACGAAATCTTACGAGACGATAYAGTATTTCAAACCGYAGTCAGTTAGTTWAGCGCGAAGCATTCAAGCAAAACTCTGTTAGGAATGTTTTAAGTTATTYCAAAATACTATGGCTGTGCTATCGCTTGGAYTAATTGTCACATTATGTACTATTGGAGTGTCTTTAATATTCTTGATATTTTTATACTGTGTCTGTCGGTCMAAGAACAAACTATACGACCACACGTGTGTTGCTTTGCTYCATCCRGACGAAGAGAAGCAAATGTACCCATACAAACCCAGTCAAAATAACACTAAGAAAGAAAGCGTAGTTCACGTTAGTGGACATTACAAAGAAAACGCGCCAAGGGACACAAAACTTGGAGGACAGAATTCCGTAAAAGAGAAYAGAAATTCRAAAGAYCTCGCGAATGAGAGGAGAGGGTCCAAGAGAGGGTCCAAGAAACTAGCAAAAAATGAGGAAAAGAGAAGCTCAAAGAGAGAAACAAGGAATAACAACACGAAAGACCAGAATCGTATATCTCTGAGAGGAAACAAGTCACCTAGTAAAAACAGCGAAATGAAAAATGAAGGYAAYGCTGAYTTGAAGAGGAAACGAAGTTCTAAGAAAGAACTAAAGCCTTATGAAGTCAAAGTGGAACTTCGACAAGAAGAGCCTCTGGAGTCTAGTCCAGTCACTCTGTTCCGACAGACAAGTGACCAYCACCCGGAKAAATGCCCTTTATCTATCGATAACGATAAGGCTACTACACGAGACWARACACGAACCACTAGCCAAGATACRAGGCCTTCTAAAGACACAGACAACCCACACTACTTACGCCCAAAATCATTTGAAGAAAACACCCTAACCGCAAAGGAACGAAGAGAAAAATACTCCCGATCTCATTCTGACAGCGTCTTTAYGCARAGCATAAATGAAAGTGACAGGAAGGCTAATCTCTACATGCGCCCGCGATCTTTAGATGCACAAGATGGAAGGCTAGTAAACGAAGACRATTACGTCAAACCACGGTCAAGCGGTAGAGGAGAATGGGACGAGAAGAGGATTAMWYAGAGTCAGCGGTCTTCSTCGGCCTACTATGTGACTCCACGAACATTAGAAAAAGATGAAATAGATTCGTACTATGTGCGCCCGCGGTCATTTGAAGGCAACGAAAGAGAGAAAACGAGGGGAAGCGAGCAATATTCGTCGTACTACACAAGCCCACGTGCACAAGACAYAGACTCTCACTACGTTCGTCCAAAATCATTCGAAGAAAATGAAAAAAGAAAAGAAAACGGGACATATTCATCTTACGRGTCTCCTKAATCGATTGATACTAGAGAAGGAAACATTCGCGACGGATACTACGTGGCTCCACGAACATTAGAAAAGGAHGAAAAAGCGAGACTTGATCGAGAGTCGTACAACACGCGTCCACGTTCTCTCGACGACAAGAGAGATGACAAAGGAAGAAATTCCTTTGATTACGTAGCTCCTAGATCGTCTGATAGGGGTAACACGCGAGAACYTGATTCCTACTATGTCCACCCACGAACACTCGGGAAGGAACGCGAYAGGACTGAAGACCACTACGTTGCTCCACGATCATTTSATAACAAGGACGATCGTGACTCRTACTACGTACACCCACGCACTCTCGAGAAGGAAGAACGRGCGAGAAAAGATCGCGAATCACAGTATGTTGTTCCAAGATCATTTGACAAAGAYGACAATCGAGATTCCTATTATGTACACCCACGCACGCTCGAGAAGGAAGAACTCGCMAGGAGAGAAAAAMARAGCAGAAATGACATGGCCCACAGAGGCGAGAAACAATATTCATCAACAATAAATGTCCGCTCTCAGCCCACAAACTATAGAGACAGAGAACGACGTCCTCGCTCGGCAGACAGGGTTGAACGACAAATTCGTGATTTSAAAGAAAGTCAACGCTCTTCCTCTTACTACATGACTCCACGCACACTTGAAATGGAGGAAAGAGAAAGAAGAGATAGATACAAAAAAGAAAGAGATGAGAGCAGGGATAAGAAAGGAGCGCGTGAAAGGAGTYGTGAAAGAGAGAGAAGAGAGAGGAGTAGAGAAAGYAGAGATGACCAAAGTGGAACGAGAAGAGATGACAGAAGTGACGGAAGGAGGAGAAGCGAAGAACGGTATAGAACGAATGAAGGTAAAGAAAGAGATYCGAGGGAGAGAAGTAGAGAGAGAACTGAAAAAGCTGAATGGGATAGGAGAGGAGTTAGTACTGAAAAAAGAAGGCATAGCGAAGAAGGTAGAAGAGATTCCAGCAGGGAAAGAGAACGATACAACGAAAGAGAGAGAAACGAAAGAAATACTGAAAGAGAAAGAAAAGATATGCAACATAAGAAAGATGACAGGGGAAAACTTACCGACAAAGAAGAAAGAAATCAAAAAGAGAGAAGAGAGAGAAGCACCGAGAGAGATGAAAAAGACAGGAAGTTTAAAAGAGATGGAAGGGAAAGAAGCAGTGAAAAAAATGAAAGAGAAAGAAATGAATGGAAAGGAGGAGTAGAGAGAAGAAGCAGCAGAGGAAGAGAAAGAACCCAAAGAACGAATGATCGAGAGAAAGACGATTATCGATCATGGTCTCCTAAACGCCAACTCCATGAAGATCGATCAAGACCACGATCACGAATGCGATCACACTCTCTAGAGTATCTACCATCGAGCATGGAACGCAAGAAGCGTCAGATGCATGTTATACAGAGAACAAAGTCCTGGGCCTCAAGACCTCAAGTACAACGCTCAGAAAGCCCGCCAATCCCTCCTCAGACTATACAACTGGAATTCCATCCTCTTTCTGGCCACGTAACTCCGCTGGACACAAAAAGCGAAGCTTCAACTGAACCACATAGCATTGAAGTTGTGAATAACGTAAATTTAGAGTCTTCACCTGTGCTTGACTTTGAACGTCCCGCGAAAAGATTTTACGATAAGGAACGCCAAGACTGGAAGAATGTCCAAACWGATTCAAGACGATCGTCTGCGACTCCAACAAGCAGTTTTGTGAATGAAGGCAGAAAGGACTTATATCACCAAGGTTATACACGAAAATATCCAACCGAAAACAGAAAAAGCGACTCAAGAAGATCTGRAACTCCAAATTATCTACAAACAGKCTCTCGACGATCATCGGCGACCAATAGCGCGGTCAATGACTATAGTCCACGTCTTGAGAACAATGGAGATCAAACTATACTATCTGGAAGTCTAGTGTTTGAATATGCTACTGACAAACGAGCCAAGACACACCCATGGTCAGCGGACTTCCCCTCAAGWCCACAGGAAACCCAAGCAGACATCTACTCCAAATCAAAGTCAACTCAAGATATCATCTCAAAACCACAGAAAATCCAAGAAAATASCTATTCAAAACCCAACAGTACGCAAGGAGATGTGTTCTCAAAACTTCAAGGATCYCGAACAGAAACCTTCACAAAACCAAAGGCAACCCAAACCGATGTCTCTTCAAAACCACAGGCAACCCAAACCGATAGTTTTTCACAACCAAAGGAAGAACATCCAGATTTGTACGCTAAAGTCCACGACACCCATTTAGATGTRTTRTCCACCTCAAGCTACGATAGTCAGAGTTCTACAGACGACTACAGGGTCTACCAAAARGAGGTTCGGAAACTCAACGGGCGCCCGCGATCAACAGGATCAAAGATWACAAAGAAAGAATCCTCGGGGAATCCTCTGGACATGCGTATTAYGTCAGAGCGCGGTATTGATTTGAAGACAGCGATGCCCGAGGCACAGCCGAGGCGCACACCAACGAGCAGTATTAGCAGTGAGGATGTCGACTGGCATCTTTATACCGTTGATGGGAAAKGAGTAATCAGACCCGAATCTACGCAAGTACGTAATGGTCTGGAATGGCACATGTTTACGTTATCCAACGACAAYCAAAASACCGTMACWAGAGATGCTGTCACACAATCTATGAATGAGTCACGCAACAACCGCGCAGRTGCGACAACTGATGAACCAGATGATGAGGTTTTTACGCAAGCTCCTACCGTGAAACGCAGGGATTCGCGCAGTAAAGGCAGCGTTAGAACGAGTCTAGAATCACATTTCAAGAGCTCTGACGTCAAGAAGTCACACAATCTCGTTCTGAACACAGATTTACAACGATCGTCAAGCCAGCCTGTTATATTTAGCTTTGAATGAACAATTGAACTTTGGGACTAGGAAAGAAAGTTATTTTTATACATAGTGAATCAATAGACTTTCTATTTACTGGAAATTTTAAGTATTATGATTTTAGGTATGTAACGCAATCACAAGTAACCTATAGACTGTCACACAACTAGTATTGGAAACAGACTCTGACCCTTATGAGTATAACATACATACTGCACATTACATGATAATCTTTAAAGTTTTTAAATAATTAACTTAAACTATTGTTATCAATAAAACAATTTTGAGTGTTAAATATTGTGGTGTATGTTTAGAAATTKAAAATAATTGGCTATCATAACAGTAATAGTATGCAAAATTGTTTGGTAAACAAAATTCTGGAAATCTTCTATTGGAWGAGCAATGCAATTTCTCAACCAAAAGTATCATGAATATAATAAATGCACAAACTAAAACTTATGATGATGGTGATGATGGTGATGATGACGATGATAATAGAATGATGATGATGATGACGCCAATATAGCGCACGCACTCAATCCGTGGAACAAAATACAGTACAATTGTGTCATATTATTATAATCCCTTTGTTTCATATTGTTTAATCYTCGTTTTTCAGAATTAAAATGTACTCTTTGTTTCACAGATTGAGAGAGTGAACTCTAATAGTAACAATAGCAATGATAACAATAAACATTAAAGAAATAGAATTAAATTGAAATGTGCACAGCAAATGTGTTGGCAGGATTTTAGATAGATACAATGAGCACATCTCAATGCCGAATCATCCAATTCCAAGTGACAAAACAGCAAGAAATATTTAATTACATGAAAAACAGTACCTGAATAAGCTTCTCACACAAAGCAGTCTTCATGCGTAAAGTCTCCCTTCTGATTAGTTCAGCATCAGCGCTTCCCTCGTTCACCTCATTAGGACAGAGTATTGTACACAGATGACAAGTGAAYGCGGTTAAACGATTGATGCAACAAAGAAAGTCCACGATACTACTGCTCAGCGGCAACAGCTCTGTCATCGGCTCACGTTTCTCAAGGGATGGGGTGCCTGAGCAATTTTCATCAGATTCACTATTTTGGTTAGYACCACTCTCAGTACTCGATATATCTATACTGTCTTGGTGAGAGCTTTTACTTGTCTGATAGCTACCGTACGGGGCAGTTTCGTATGTGGTGATTGTCACTCTAGACGGCGCGCTTCCATATTCACTTCGACTYCTTGTTAAGTCAGATTCTAAAGCTCTCATTATGGGATGTTTACTGGTCGTTTTTGATGGTAACTGGAGTCCAGATGGTCCTGGCTGGTTCCAGTCTTCGTCACCATGTTCACTATTGGTAGCTCTTGATGCTTTAACAAGCGTTGTCTTTTGAACGTCGAATGCATCGTTCGATGCCTCTTCGATGTCAGGTATAACGTCGACAACCTTATGAGGACAGTTAGCACACTCCTCAAGAATGCCACCATGATGAGTTTTCTGCACAAATGTACTAGGTATTGGCAACTTGGAATCTATTGAAGTTGACTCAAGTAAATTGTCATTTGAGGATGTTTCGATTTTTGTCGGCGTTCGATATTCGACATCCGACATGGACCGTTTTCCATCTAATCCTACAGCAGTAGAGTCTAACGAAACATTGGGATTTATGATATRAGAGATGTTTGYAGTGTTGRTCGCGATATCAAGTCTTTCATGGTCTTCTTCGARGTTCAACGTSCCTACGATATTAGGYCTCGATRCYACAGTTTTGTCGATACTACTCGTAKGACTGTTMGCGTCGTCTACGTTTTCATAGGGGGTCGCATCGCGCTGTTCTGACTGACTAGTACAATATTCCGTTATATTTGATACAGTTACCAAAGCCTTTTGTCCGGTCAAACCTTTTTGATCATTTTCAACATCAGTTCTTAATCTTTGTTCACTCTGATTAGCTTCTTCGCTTAGACTTGATAATAATCCAGTTTGACCAGAAATTCCAGTTTGACTTGCTTTCCCTGGTAGATTTTCATTACACGCACCGCTGTTCAGTGCTGTTTGTTCAGTGAGAACAGTTTCTTTATGTTCATCACTATTATCAATTGTTCTTATGTCTTGCCCTGAATCTGAGTCAGTTCGAATGAAAACGTCTTCGATTCGAACACTTCTAGAGAGACCGCCATCCACATTCGTTGTCTTTTCATCACTTATCCTGGGTACTGAGTGCACAGTGACTTGAGTTATGATTGTTTTGCCTTTGAAGCTTCCTGCTGTGGATGACTGTGCCTGAGTATCAATGGAGGTAGCAATGGATGAAGTTTGATCGTCTACAGCATTCGTGGGAAATATAATGGAGTCAAGTTGTGGATTGGAAACGGACATTACGCTGCTCTGTGGAGTGAAGAATATCGTAGCGTCAAATCACTGACAGAGAGAAGAACGATGAAGACGAAGCGTGAAGAAGGGTGACTAAATACAAGGCAAGAAGATTCACAAAAGGCCAAAAGAATACGGATTGGTAAAGGACAATAAAAGGAGGACGAAAAACAGTTGAGAATGATAAGGACAAGAGCAAACTAAAGACAAAGATGAAGCAGGAAATAAAGAACACGGCTGAGAATAAGATAATTAAGACGAGAAAAGAACAAGAGGAATCAAAAGAGAAANGACAAAGTAGCACAACGATACGAATAAGACAAAAAAGGGAAAAATGGGAAAGAAAATTAAAGATTGATAACAAAAGGAAAAACAAGATGAACTAGAAAAATACGAGGAAATAGATAGAGAAAAGAAATAGATAGATGACACAAAGAAGTTGCCTTTGTTGCTCGCAACAAAGATCACAAAAAAATGCGTAATATTGAATATAACAATATTATTTCGAAACAAAAATCTTACTTTAGCTAAAGGCTGCATGTCGTTAACTTTTCTGAAGGCAGAGTTGCAAGACTGAGTAAACAGCTGTTGTTTGCTAGAGATTGTCATGACCTTGGACGCCAGGGAAGCTCTGCTTGTCTTAATATCATCCTGTGTGACCTCCACTGGTCGCCATGTTTCCTTTTCAAGTAAAGCTGGGACTAAGCGCTTCAAATGCTGTCCTACTATATCCAACCATGTAACAGAGAGCTGTAACATTGGTTCCCGCCATGTTTGTAACCTAAAAATAACAACATCTATGAGCCCTCGCCTTTGCAGTTTCTGTTATTTATCAGGTATTTGAAATCCCCGGGCTGGGGAGAGGAGGGTGCGATTTTTCATCATGGAGACTTGCAGTACTAGTAGAGACTACTTGGGAGTATTTTTTATGCGCTTGTAAACATCGTAGGGACCATGACCCATAGTTAATAGTTGTTAATAACGTTCCTTGGTTGATGTTATTGAAACTGTTGTTGTTTAGTCGTTACAAAGATAACGGGTATGACTTACTCTGTTGACAGATAATTAGCCATATCTCTGTCAAGGATGGACAGTCTATAAGCCAAAGCAAGCATCCTAAGATCAACTTTATCATGACGGCAGGGTATATGCGCACACATCTCCTGCACATCCAACATCAGAAGCTTATAAAARGTAACTGCKGAGAGCTGTACAAAATCCACATATCTGAAAGTAAAATACTTGATTAGGGTCTTCTTTCCGAGACAAATTTACCATCGATARTCTTTCTTTTCCCAAGAACACTAAGGGACTGGAACTCTCTCCCAGGGAAAACTGTGAAGGCAGTTACCCTAGCTATGGGAAAGTTTGAATACAGTGTTTGTTTTCAAGTCAAAAAAGCGGGGTTTTAAGACTGATTTGCACTAACGTTTTTTGCCGCAACTTTTCTGACAATGTTTGTGGTCATTTTGAAAGTGAACCAACTAAAAGTGTCTTCAGAGGGATGACACAAAATTTATAATATTTTTGAAAATCGACTGAAAAATCGCAGCAAAAATCGRCAGTGTGAACTGACTTTTAGAAAGTTCCCTGTCATTAGATCTATCCGCTTATGAGGGCATCCACAAGTGTTTAATATTAATATCCTTACTTTTCAAACTCTGCTTGATAATACGTCTTGTATATAGTGATTTCTTCCTGGATGTCATAGATCAAGATGTTGAGTAAGTTAGGAGTAAGAGGTGGTGCATAACTGTCCACTTCGAGTTTGTAAGCAGCAATCACTTTAAATCTCTCATAGCGTCCTTCAACCTCCTCCTAAAAAAGATGAAAAAGAAAGTCGATAAGTCAAGTCATGGATAATAAAAGCACTGTGCTTTTATTATCCATGGTCAAGTGCAAGATAAGAAAGTAGTCATTCTGAAAATCTTCGCTGTGAGACAGYTATCAATTGTTGCTTTCTTCATTGACCTTTCGTACACGCTTTTACACTATGTTTAGACGCCATTTGATCAAAAACTCCTGAAGAAGACGACCAAAATGGCGTCGCAACGTAGTGCAAAAAGCAACAAGGTGAATACTGTTCCGTACMTTTCTGTACTGTTCTGTTATGAACAGGTAATATAATGCGCCCCACCTCTCAAGATAAATACAGTCAACTCTCTCCTTACGGACACCCCGCAACAACGGACACCCCGATATTGCGGACAGTAAAATACTGAATTCCCGGCGAAAAATACAACGAAATGACTGAAAGTAACTCTCCTTYCTACAGATTCTCGCTACTGCGGACACTAAATAACGGTCCCGAGGGTGTCCGTAATAGCGAGAGCTAACTGTAATGACAGGTCCGTATTAAAGGATTTATCCAATAGGATGGCACTATTCAATCATCGGCCCCGAATCTAATACTAGCATCGGCCCCGATGCTAATACTAGCATCTTCCTACCGTTAGAAATCCTGCCAGCAAWGAATCAAAAGGTTCGTCTATCAAGTTGCTTTTGAATTCATGAACGATATCCCTCAATATCATAACCGTGAAGACTGCTGGGAATTTAGCATTCACATACAGGGCAGCATCCTGGGCCAGCTCTGCCATGGTAACGAGAGCTGTRACTCCTCCTGGYGGGGAGTTTTTGGGAAATAAACGAGTGACTCTGGTCAGGTAGTATTTGGAGATGCGAAGAAGAAGAGTAAGGATGTGGAGAAGCATCGCAAACTGAAAAAAAGATGATTAATTTTGTCATAAAARGATTCATTTTTCCARAAAATGAAGCCTAGTCTCCTTCTCAACCATCATTAGTGAGAGGGGCCTGGGTTCAACACKYGTAAAGAATGTGACAGAGAGTAWATGAAWCCTTACTTCTTCTTTGACATATATTTCAGGAGTGATGGTCACTAGCTTCATGACGTCCTCTACAAGTACTGCAACGTGTTGAATGATCCACAGCTCACACTCAAAATGACTGGAATTAATAAAAAATTATTAGAAAAAAAATATCATATAATAGATCAACTTTTACCTAGTTCTTAATCACGTAACAGTAACTATTTATGACTAGAATATCATCACAAGACATGAGCTGCCACAAACCAGACAGCAAAATCGTGACAGATGAGAGATCAGACAATATATCCAGCAAAGTTCAAGTTTGTCAGGTCACACAAAGTCTTGACCTGTCAACTTAAAACTTGGACCAGCAGTTTCAGTTTAAAGTTTTGTGAAATACTGAAATAAAATGCACTTACTCAACAAGATATCTAAGATAAACAAGCTTTCTGTATAGGGCCCCTACACCATATCGTAGGCCAAATTCTTTGAGGATGCGACAAGCTGCWGGGGAGAGTGGAGCAGTGGGTGTTACATCGCCATATACCGAGTGAATGGTCTCATTAGCACTCTCATATCTAGATAAAATGATAAAATATTAATAATTATTGATAATAAACAACATTACAGTGAAAACTAAAAAGGATGATATTCAAGAAAGCAGTTCTACAGTCAAAAATACCATCATAGAGAAACACTTCTTTTTACAGCTGCTCTTTTTACACTACACAATGCAAATACCTTATAAATCTTTTCAGCAGGGTTATGTACCCTTTGTGAGCATCAACCTGGTTTAGTGGGTAAGCCGATGGACAGGGAGGGAGAGGAAAATGCCAAAACACTTTGATGAGTCTGTTGACACTTTCTTTCTCYGCAGTGACCCATTCATCATAACCATTCTTGTCCAGGAAACTTTGAATGCGGTAGTACGGATGACAGTTGTTGTTTAAGAAGTAGAGTTGTGTTAGCAAGTCTTCAACAAGAACCTGGAAGTGACAATAAATGATATTGATTGTAATCATCAATATTACAATATCAAAACCATCAGCAATGATAATGATAATATAATTTTGGGGTTATTATCACAAGGCATGGCAAACCACTACTTTTCTTGATAATGATAATGTTTTGGATGTAGGGGCTGAGCCACCATGCATTGATCCAGGATGATCGACCAAACAAGCAAGCAGCAAGCAACATGTGCAGCCCTGCACAGCTCAGGACTACCCTGCATGCACATCAGTAATCTCTGATCAGCATAGCAGATGTGCAAGCAGAATGCTGTGGTAATCCATTTGCAGTCAATGATTTGCAACCATCGATCCAGCACACAAGCTGTGTCTTGCAATCCATTWGCAAGAAGACCAGCAATCACACACACAGGAATTCCATTGTTTTGATTTTAATTCAGCCTTAAAAAATTACATTTAGCCATAATTAAAGCACTTACCCTCTCACTATTCTTTGGGAGCATTTTGTCCTTAATTTGTTTTTCTCTAGATGAATGCATGTGTTTTGTCAGTCCATACGTTTTTCTCACCAATTCCCTCATCGAACTAGCYTTAGCTGGAGGTGTAGACTCTGGAGAAATGATGTGACTAAAAGAAAATGCCTTGGATTTGAATGGTGAGTTAATAGAAGCTCTTGGTGGTGGACTGTAGGAAAACTCAAATGGATGAGGACTGCAAKAATAAAAATAATAAATTAAGAATTTAAATATTAGATTTTTCAATCTCGACTACCTATATAAATAGGAAGCAAGAGGTAACAGTGAATATCATTGCATCACAACTTCTTTGTTTCGAAGTTTGTTTTAATTTTGTTCTTTCCTTCAATCCAAGGGGCGAAGCTTTTTTTAAACTCGTTCAGTCATTGGCTGATTTGCAGCATGCTTTGCCCCAAAGTCACAGAAAAACCTAAATCCTAACAATTTCTTTTGAACATTGAAGTCGCAATTCAGCAGTTCCTGATGTAATCTTTTGAATTTAGAAGTACTTTCATATAATTCCACAAAGTGAAGGTTAGTTATCAGKCATTCAAAAATTGCCAGTGAAGCTGACATTCAATCATAGGAACTTAACACTCTGAGAATCACAACTGTGGTACTGTATCACATTATCAGCTCTTTGTGCACCATATGATTACTTCTAGTCAAATATTTCACTCAAAAACCAGCCATATTGAACAAAAAGAGAGTTTTACCACTCTAGTGATTTTCTTCGTGTTTGCCCTACCAAATGAGATTCAAGATTGTCTAAATTAATTGTACCTTGTAGGTGAGCTTGGTGAGGARGATGGTGAGTATGGTGAAGGTACTGGAGGTGCACTTAAATAKGGTGCCTGGCAGCACATTACAACCATCTCATAGAGCTGCCAGTCCTGTTAAGTTGTTCAAAAGAAACTGAGTATATCACTTTGTACCAAATGTATTGAAACATTATAAATGAATAATGATACCAAATGGAAAATATGAACAGGTTTTGTCTAGATGAAATTATGCACACTTGATGTCTTTGGACATTTGAATTGCTTTGCTTAGACATTCAATGAGAAAGCCAAACATTTAGAAACTGGTGTTTTGGTGGAGTATATTATTTACAATATCAATTGGAACCTATCAACATAATGTCAAATACTAATGCATAAAACAGTAACTAGTCTAGACAATTTTGGAAGAATTTATGTAAGAGATTTGTTACATATTAAAAACTACCTCCTCTTTAAGTACCATATGATCATCTGGAGCACTTGATGCACCTGAAAGACAAAGCACACAATCTTTTACATTATAATATAATATAATCCTATTTATATAGCGCTTATCCAATTCTGTTCTAAGCYCTTTAAAACTACATGACAACTACAAAACACATGAGAGTCTTGGTAGACTGTGAGCTTGAGTTGGTGCAAAAACAAAAACAAAAACATTTACAACAGCAAATGGGACATAATAATTTTATCTACTAGACAAACCTTCTACATTTGTGGGATTTTGGTAAATCCTGCCGTCACCTCTTTGAACCTAATGATGGTAATAACACTGTTATCATTTCAGAGAAACACAACATAAATATTGACTTCAGTACACAATATTCTTATCATATTCGACTATTCAAGACTATTCACTACCTACCAAACGCACACTGGTGTCAGGTCTGTCAACGACTTTATTTCCTGCAGTTAGCTTTGGCCGATACCTGTGAGGCCTGAATAATTATTAAAACATGATTAATAAAATATAATTTGTTTAAAAAAGGAAGTAACATGGTTGTGGAGAGATACATATTTTACAGATTTTGGGTTACTACTAAATCATCAATGTCTATCAACATACAATTTTTCATATTATACTGTGTCACACATGAAAAACTTCGTATTTTGAAAGATATAAGAAATTGCCTGTTTGCTCATTTAGTGACCTCACAGCAGAGGGTGGGGGTAGGGGAGAGTTGGGGGAGGGGAGAGGGAAGGAAGTGCCTCACTGTACTGAGCGCATATGGCACTACCTCAAGTACACAAATCCTCTTGTCCCACCTTCCCATTTAGTTATAGTGAAAAGTATGGACCAAACAATTTACAAAGTATTTTATGGTCAATTTTTCAAACAATCGAAGTTAATAAAGTCACTTATTAATTAGTAAATCTCAGATCTCTGTCAGTCTGAATATGATATGATAGACTAATTGGAAATACACAAACTAGTTCACTTACTCAAGATTTTGAAAATAAGCATGGATATGTCGTATGTTCTTGCCATGTCTGAAAGAMTATTTTAAGCAAATAATCAATTTGGACCCCATTTTAGAGCCCCATGAAATATAACTTAATAACTTCAAATCTTGCATTATACTAAAATTGAAGCTCACAGGACCAAGTTTAGTTTATCTACCTTAAGATACTTAAGCCAGGGTCAAGTTTTATGCAATGTTTGCCTTCCTGTGTTAGAGAATTTTGCTTGGAACACGAGCATGAAGCTGTTGTTTGGTCCCTTTGAAGAGGAGATCCACTTTCGGTCCATCGTGTTTGTTCGGCGTGAAAAAAGGATTTGACTAATTTTTCCACTGATTCTTTTGCAACCTGAAGTTCCTCTGTCTCCCAAGTAAACTTGGGGTCCATTTTAGGTCGGAAAGAAGACTAAAATACCACAGAAATATAGCGTTCTCTTCATTTTATGCATCCAAGAAAGTTTGTTTAAATTTCCTTAGTGCATTCTTACAAGCTTTCTGATTGGTTACTGGTAATGTCTTKATTTAACGTCAAATCTGATTGGTTYAATGGATGCGAGTATATGATATTTGGATTTGCATCATTTGTGATTGTTAAATCATATGACAATCGCCCTTTTCCAAACCCAGACTTCCGTTCTTTGAAATAGAAGCATTACTCCCTTATTAACCTCCTTTCCGCTGTCACAAGACAGGGTCTGGAATGTACTCTGATACTTGAGTCAAAACAAAAACAAAAAACCAAAAAAAGAAAAAGAAAAGAAAGAAAAAAGAGCTGAATAAGATGTTTTCTCAAATAACGTACATCGATAATAAATAACTTAACTTAAGATAATAAGGAATGATCAATAAAAATATTTTATTGTGACTTGCGCCAGATAATTAAATAAAATCAATTGATCTGGGAGCCCTGTGRTATGACGTCATTTATATTACGCAAAAACTTCAAGTACTTGCGTTTATCTCAGATCAGTTCAAAACCAAAAAAGGGACAGATTAAAAGTGCTTTAGACTTTGAATTTATATATTTATACAACTGYCAATTTCAGGGGTCACTAGCTGACCTCCTCTCTGACCTAAAAAGGTGTTCAATTTTTAGCTGCCCGCTTTTGTACAGCACTTGAGGACGTGTGTGGACGGTTGGACTTTACGCTGTGACAACAATTGTTCTACGTATATTTTATTATGTTTCTTTATATGTACAAATATATCTCCTTTGAAAACTGTTAGAACCTGGTGCAATACATGCCTTTGATARAGAAAACTTAAATTTATGATAGAAAATTACTAAAATATATCATACGTAAGGATTTTTTGTTTCATTTCTAATTCAGGTAATGCGTAAAATCTGCTTTTTATAAGCGACGGTACAAAACGTAAGCATAGAGTAAGTGAACCCGACAGAAACGTTTCCACGAAGTTTCGCTTTGGTTTGTGGTTGCGTCTGTATTAAGGTCTATAATGGAGACAACGTAAGGATGCAAGCAACATTAAGAATGATCAGTTCATCGTAGTATCCATCCAGAGAAACGACTGACAAGGCGTCTGACATAGTCACCAAGGAACGCTTGCGTCACCAAGGAACACTTGCGTTTTAAAACGTCGAAAGATAGAGCCATAATTAATAGAAAATTAGAATGATGTTTACGATCATGATGATAATTATGATTATAATCACTGCGCCTCTATAATATCATTTCATCAAACGCTATTATTTTATTTAACAGGGTAGTTAGTACGCTRCTTGTTGGGCTGKSTGTGCTCAGTTTTGAGGTTTGCGAGCGGCGACCGCATGCAGCCCAACGAGTAGCACACTAATCGTCTTTYGAATCAGTCTATTGCTTGAGTAAAGATGTTATTTGMATGGATCCATCCATGGAACCGGTTAAACAGGTRGAGCAGCTCAACGACGACGTCCAGTCGACACTCATAACATGCTGTCTGTGGTACGGTAAACTGAGAACCTGTGAAAGGTGTTTACCTTCAACCTACAAMACAACAAACCAATAAATAAATGATTTAATATCTGAAAAAAGGCAGAAAAAAGGCAAATATATAAATGCATAAATGAATATATGAATGAATGAACGATCGAACGAACGAACGGACGAACGAATAACTTAGGATTGGATGGATGAATAATTTGGAAAAAATTGCTCAATAAATGGATGGATTGYTAAATGTACAAATAATATTCACCCACTGTGAATGAATAAATGGAAGAGTGGGATGGATTAATGAACAAGGTTTCCAATTTTTCTCTTCTGAACACTAAGATAAACAGTCGATCAAATAAATCGATGATGGAATGATAGACAGATGGAAGATTGAGTCATTCAATCAACATAAATGCATGGATTCATTGGACCAATCGGCGATCCCAGAGTTCAAGTAGCGTCTAGTTTCGACTGAATTGATGCCAAAATTAAAGGTTCCCTTTCGACAAGCCTACCTTATAAATAATCCCACTTTGAGGTCCGCAAGTCAGTACYTGATGTCCTTCAGAGTCGAAAGCAAACAGTCTTCCATACGACCCACTGCCATTGATTCCTCGTGTTTGATTGGGCCGCAGCGAACTCTTTAACACGGCTCCCTCGTGTATATTAAGTTCGGCGATTTTTTGGCCCATGCGATGGACGCTCCATTGGACAAACTGTTGCATTTGAGAAAGTATAAAGAACCAATTGAAGGGAA